TCGGAGAGTCCACCCGAGTCACCGCAACCCCGAAGACGAGGCCCGGCACCACGAGAGTCAGGCGTGGTGAAGACGGAGGAACCAAGCTCCGCACCCTCCAGCAGCACGAAGGAAGTCTCCCAGGAGGAGCAAGATTTCGTGGCGGCCCTATGGCCGAATGGCGCTCCCCCAGAGCTTGCCGACTTCCACTTCCCAAACACGGAACAGGAGATCCTAGCCCTTTCCCCTCCAAGGAGTCCCTACCATCCGGAGACAGAAGCCATCTCTCGGCCAAACACCCCCAATCCTTCAGGGACCCAGCCAGATGAAGCTGTCCTTAAGGCAACCTCCGAAACTCCTCAAGGGGTCCTTCCCGAGGGTATCCTCGTGGCTACCTCTAAGGCTCAAACCAGCCAAGCTCCTAACCAAGTCACGACTACCCCTTCACCAACACCACCCAATGTCGAGTTGGGCCGTCAACGAGCAGTTCAGCCGGTAGTCCTACTGGAAAGGATTCAGGTGCCACCCCCGGTTCTTCGCATAGAGGAATATTGGGAGCCCCTTGAGCCCTGGCTCCCGGATGTATGGAGTGTGGAGCGGAGGAAGAAAGGCTTCATGAGAGCCTTGCAAGCCTGCAGTCTCCAGCCGCTCCGTCAGATCACCGAGCATCGGTACATCATCCCTCCAATACCCGTCCCAGTGGGGCCGGATGGGGTCCATCCCCTGGTATTGGCCAACCTGATTGATCCAGTCGTGACGGATCACGATCCCCCCAGAAGCACCTTGGCCCATTCTCCTGGGAGGCAAGCCCCAGCTCCTCCCTCTCCAAGGTCACCTGAGGCAGGAGTAACTCCCAGTGACGCCTCATCGTCATCCAGTTCCTCGTCATCGTCATCAACGAGCAGCTCGTCGTCGCCTTCCACAAGCTCTTCTAGCTCAGTGGCTAGTTGCTCCGAGGATGAGGCAGAACAGGCCCACCAAACCCACTCTCCGACGGTTTCGGCCGCGGCTCCAACCCCCATGGAATTGGAGGTTAACCCCCAAGAAAACCCCTGAGGTCCTGGCCAGGACATCCTCCAGATTGACCTCCGCGAGGACGAACGAGCATCCCTTGCAGATTCCAGGGAGGACACACCATCGAGGTCCCCGAATCGAGCTCGCAAGGGTTCTACCTCCTCCGATCAGAAGGGATCATCCATACCCCTGGAGGTACTCCGCCAACTCCCTCTGCCCATAAGGGAGATGCTTCGGGGATATTCTCCAGTGATCCCCATCACTGGCCCAACACCCTCCACCTCCGGGTCGGATCAAAACTCTTCTCCAGTGATTCCCGTCACTGGCTCCAGTCCTCCCACCCTCGGGTCGGGCCACAACACACCTCCAGAGATTCCAACCGCTGGCCAAGCAACTTCCGCTACCACCCAGGGACTCCCAGTACTGGATGGCGCGGCCGGGTCCCGATCGGACTCTGCCGCAGTTCTCCCTGAGTCCTCCAGTAACTCTCGCAGACTCGAACCAACCCAGGGTAATGACCCGAGTAGGAGCACTCAGAAGAAGGGGCCCAGCAAGAAGCGCATCTGGTGCTTCGATTGTAGGAGACATGGACACCGACCCGCTGATTGTCCGAACCCCACGGGAGAGACCTTCTGTGGCAAATGCCCCTTCAGGGTCGCCAGAAATCGACCCTGCCCGATACACGGTACAGACCTGGCCGGGGCAGCCTGTAGCAGATCCGCAAGTAGACCAGCGGTACGATCGGAGGTCGTTAGGGTACCTCGTACCCCCGATAATGCTTCCGCTACTTCGTCTCGAGAGTCCCTGACACGGTTCCGATCGAGCCCGGTAGGGAGCCGAGGAACGGAAAATCCTCTACAGCCGTCGTCCTGACCCTCAGAACATCAACAGGGGACAGCCGGCGACTGGGGAATACAGGGCCTATCAGCCCCCCTTCGAGGACTCACCTCGCCAAGTCCCAGCACCCTACTGGACACCTTCTCCTCTCGATTTCCCACCACTTAACCCCCAGTATGAATCCTCTCCGAGTACCACCTCGGCACCTCCCAGGGAGTATGCATCTCCCAGGGCTACCTCACCCCTGCCACGCCGAGAGGTTACCGGCTATTCTTCATTCTACCCAGCGACGTCATCACGGGCCTCGCCGCTCCCCATCCCTACAGCAGGAGTGACTCTCCCACCTGAGGCCGTGGCAGCCATCGCTGACATCATCATGGGACATCACTATCCACCAAGGCACTCACCCGAGCCAACTCGGCCACCGGGCGACCATCACAGGTCCAACAAATCCTGGAGTACCAGGTATCCTCCACACTAAACAGGTGATGGCCAATTAAAAAAAAAAAAGTACGGCAGTACCTGACATGGGCGTCCTCCGGGAGTAAGCCCCTGAAGACGACTTATAATTTAGGTTTTTTTTTGTAAACGAGTATTAATCCGTCAATTTTCTTTTATATTCTTTTTGTCGCATTCCGGACCGAGTCCACTATTTTGTCGACATCACAGTCATTTAGTTTTTTTTGATAAGCGAAATGCAACTATTTAGTTGTTTTTTTTTCACATTAATGGGGCTCTTCCCCTATTATTTCGTATTTTTTTGTATCTATTCTCTTTTTTTTTCTCTTTCTCCCCTCAAGATGTTAGGAGGGAGATCTAGGGTGATACATTGTAAGACCCAGGTTGAAGTCACTAGTTTTTTTTTGTTATCGTAATAAATAGAGTACGGACCAGCAATGAAGTCTAGTCCTTCGACTCCTCCCGCTACCTCTCAGGTCGTGGGTTCGAGGTTAAGTTTTGTTAAATATAAGTATCCAAATCTTGGTGAAACGTCCGACAACGAACATCCACGCCGACAACAGATCGACAACGATGAGGCGAACACGGATACCAACGGTCAAAGGAGGGGAGTGTAACGAACATGTGGGGATGTTCGTTAGGAACACTAAGAACGATCTGTAAACAGCGAGACTCCTACANGGCCCAGAAAAATTATCGTGAAGAAGGGCCAACATTATAGAGTCATCCGGTTCTTTTTATGGGGCTCACCCTATTATTAATCTTGCGGGTAATCAAATAGGTCCGGCTGAAATGCCGGCGCTCCA